ATCAGATTGGAGGGTTCAGGGTATCTCCTAGTCGAGCAGTCTCGACTAGAATTTTCTGACTTTTTTTTTTTTTATGTTTTTGTTTCTTTTCTTATTGTTTTTTATTTTCGTTGAGTATACATAAAGAAAAAATCTAAAAAAACTAATAAAATATGATGCAAAGGTTGAACTTGACTTTTTTTGTTTTGCAAATAATCAATGGACATACTGTTTCGGATGAGTTGAGTAGATATTGCTATTGTACTATCCGTTACATTGTCAAAAACAATAAAAACGCATTTCACATTTCAAACATATTAAAAATTTAGTTAATAACAGGGTATAGAAATAACATACCTGATTCTTCCTTTTTGGAGACAATTCCTCCGATATTTAGTATTTCCACATCATCATCTTTGATTTTTGATTGAGTTATTTCATCTTTTTTTTTAGTATTTGGTTCGCACGTTTTATGTACGTTTGCTGTTTTCGTTGTTGACAAAATATCAGAATTTTCCAATTCTATATTACTTTTAGTCATATCTGTATTGGTTATGTTACTATTACATCGCACATTCTTTACATTGGCAGGCGAACTTTGTTCACTTGTACTACTTTCCGACAAATGATCATAACTATTTTCACTGCTAGAACTAAGCGACCGATGTACATTGGATGCTGACCGATTTGAGAGTGAGAATACATTACTTTCATTGCGATCGATTACTTCTTTACTGGAATTCGCTCCGTCGTCAGAAATATCCAACTGCTCATTTACTTCAGTCGGAGTCTTTTGGATTGGTTCCTTAATTTCTGTTTGATCTTTTGAAAATGAGGCACGATTTAATGATCCTTTTTCCTTGTTACGTTCAGATTTTGGTCGATTGTTAAGAGAATCTAGTTCTATTTTTTTAGAAGTTGTGACTAAGTCTTCAGCTGGAACTGTTATAGTTATAGAACTGGAATCAACCCTGGCTTCAGGAATAAAGTTCTCTTTGTTAGATGTATTAGCATTAGGGAACACATGACTTTTGTTTTTAGTTTTGTTTTTATCATGACGACCTTTGTCATTCCGTGACTTTTCTTTCCTACTTTTTCCGTTCATATTAGAGGCAGTTCCTAAAGTTTCTTTGCTATTAATTGGAGAAACTGATAAACTTGGCCAAGCTTCTTTCTGCTGTCCATTTCCTAAAGTTGAACTATTTGCAATCGATACCGACGCTGTCGACGATGATAATGATGACATCGTACCCGAAGCTGCATAGAAACATGGTTACTATTGCTCTATTTTTTTACTAAAACATTTTTACCGTTTATTTTTGAGGTACCGCTACCAACGACGCTTACACCATTAGCGCTCCCTCCAATTCCAGATATATTATTGACCCCAGAAGAAGCAATTAAAACATCATGCAGACGTTTTTCATACTCTTGATGTTTTCCTTGATGCATTTCCTTAAAATTGAATAATGATGTACTACATAATACATTTTATATACGATATTTTACCTCCTTAGTAAAACTAGCTTCTGAATCACCCAACTCATGTAAATACATACAGTCGCACTTGGGACATTGTTGGTTCTTCATAAAATGACTGCAATATTTTGTTGTTCCGAGACTGGTTTTTATTAGACGCCCATCTATCATTATATTGTTTACACTTTGTATAGCTCGCAATGCATCTGCATTGTGTACGTATGTGACATAAGCCGACGCTGACGGACCCTTTTATTAAATTTGACGATTAGCTAAATGTTTTTATAATAGAAATTTATTTACCTGTACTCCAGCGTAAGTTGTACTTGGGTTTATAACAACTTTATGAATTTTTCCATATTTCCCGAAATATTCGTGCTTTTTTAATATCTGTTACATAATTGTCAGTACATTAAAGGAAGAAAGTAATAAAAATCGCATCATATACACTTACGTCTGCGTCAGCTAGTCGGGGCGGCAACCCAACAACAAAGACCAAATTTTTTTGAACCACACGAACATTAGCTAGGTGTTTCCGGTTCTCAGTTATTTTTTGTTTTCGTTGTTGATCTCTTTGACGCTTTTGAGATTTGAATGCAATCATCTAACATTATTGAGGGAAATTTAATTAATATATTATTAAAAGAAGTTATTTCATTTCCTTTGACACACGAAATCAACAAACTGAATTTATCAGCAGCACATTGGATTTTTACAGTATACAGTACAGTTTTATCCATATAAATACTATTTATTAAATGACACTGACTGGTAAGACTTATATAACAATAAAGGCAGAAAGTACAAGAATCTGGCATAGCAAAAATTCTATTATTTACGGTGTTAGCTATAGACTCGTATAAACCGTTAATTGTCATAAATATAATGTAATTATTTCTATGCTTATCGGAACATGAGGTTCTGTCAAGTATACGTATTCCGTACTAGCGACTTGAAATATGTATATATTCATGAAGAAACGTATACAACAATTTTGAATGTGAAAATCGGAAAAACGTCAAAAAAAAGTTTGAAAATTTTGTTACTTTTCTTGTAAATACTTATACAACCGTTTTGAGGCTGTAAGGCAAAAATGCATGCATTTTGATACAATATACTTACTTCCTCTTGAGTAAGCGGTTTAAAATCAGCTGGATTTTCTGGGTATTCTTTTCGACATGCTGGACACAGTTTGTTTTCGTCTGTACGAATTCTGTGCCAACAGAATCTACAAATCTGTAAATTTTAAAAGACATATACGTGCAATAAAATTCCTATCTCCACTAGACTTACTTGGTATCCACACGTGCATGGGAAAAAAGTCAAATCATCAACCTCTAGGGGTTCCATACATAATGGGCACTCAATAGTGTCGTCATTACTGTTTGCTAAGCCGTTCATTATTTTATGTATATATAGTATAGTTTTACTGGAGTCACAACAAAATGATGTCCTATTCCTGTATATATATTAATAGTTTTTGTTAAATATTAAAAGTTTATTTCAGTGAAGGAAAAATTCAACATACACCATCAATTCTTCGGGTTTTTGCGTCATTAAAAACAAATGGGAATGCCACTATAAGTTTATTCATAAAATTTTAATGAATTATTCCTTCAGAATACTATAAACAAGTTTGAGCGTTTGCAACTGCAGGATACTCATTCACTTCCCATTTTCTTTTTTTTGCAAATCAATAGAAGTTGCTATCCGCAATTTAGACGCTAAGCATTGAGTTTTTAGTTTTAATACTGTAGAAAATGAAGTTTTTCTCGATTCGCCATGCCCACTGAAAAGTTTTGAAAAGTTTATTGAACTGTAAATTTTTGACGCTAACGCTCCCCTATGGGCGATTTTCCATGATATATGGCATAAAGTCCAAAACTGTATGGTGAAATATTAAATATTTGTATGTTAGTTGTTAACACTCCAGTTAGATGGAAAACAAATTCTGTTTGTACCGGGGGTTAATTCTTTCTTTGTGGGAACGTCAGATGATCTGTTGAAGCTTTCAAATATATAAAATAGCTCTTGCAACTGCTCAAATTAAGGAACAATCTTTACTATATTTAATATGAGAATTTATTTGCAGAATAATTTTTTTTGTAGACCGACAATCTTAATTAATTTTTCAGAACATTATCATAATGTTTAAAGGTTTGTATATTTCGAAGCATAAGTCTGATTAAGAATATATATATACTTAATGGGGTCTGCGATGCTCCCTTCTACCTATTACATACTTTTTCACAAAAACATTATACCCTGATTTCCCATTTTCTATGGGTTTAGAGTACAAAAATTAGGCTTATAGTTTTATTTTATGCCGCCAAAATCGACAAATAAATTACAGAGTATTTTTCTATATGTCACGCTTCTAAAAAGGCGTAATAATTATTTTTGGGCTATTGAGAGAGTTATCAGTAACTCAACTATAACAAGTAAGAAGACTCTAGTCGAGACTGCTCGACTAGGAGATACCCTGAAC